CTTCGTTAGAGATGATGTGCGTGTTGCTGGCCTCAAGGTTGAATGCCCCACACGTTCCAAGTTTAGAAGCTCCAAAAGTTGTTGGTTGCGAAAGGCAGAGCGGGGAAGATGACAGAGGAAGGGAATTGTAGTGGGAGAGATAGTGCCGTGGCTTTACACGATTGCGTTTATTTGGTTAGCGCATAGCGCACGTATTGGGTTTTTGTCTGTGTGTTGGTGTGTGATCCTCGGGTCACCACTCCTCGGATTGTGTTAGTTCCAAGTTAAGAAGCTCCAACAACTTTCCCTGAATACGAATTCGCAACCTTTCGATTTACACCAGGTACCTACTTTACTGCTAGGTGAACAGGGACCAAGGGGGCTAGGAAGAGTGTCCAAACAACTTCCACCTGCCCGGGAATCGAACCCGTGACATCTTGCTTGCGAGGAAAGAGCGGTACCGCTTCTACCACAAGCACCCCTATATATACAGCAGCCGGGAGTAAACCCGTGGGAACTGGTCGGTTGCTGGACTCCGTTGCTAGGGTAATCGGCTACGTTTATCAGATGTAAGGAAGAGTATCGCAGGTGGCGACCCCCACCCCATGAGAACCTCGGTGGTGGTTGAGCTCCGTTGCTATGGTATTTGGCTACGCTTTTGTATGGGAGAGATCCACTACAATACTCCCCCTCCCCTCCGAGCGCTGCAGGAGACTTGTTGTCGGCAGGGTTGTATCTCACATGTGAGACATAACGGGCAGGGGTGTGGACGACTCGGCCGCTACGGGTGACGAATTCCGTCTAGTAATACAGAACCTGTGGGAGAATCAGGGGGAGAAGGAGGGTTGTGGATTAGAGAAGGTTGTACAGGAAATGGTTGCTGTGCTGCTGCCGCGGCAGGAGCAAAGTCCTCAGGGTCACTGTCTGGGTCCACGTCAGGAGCAGGGTCCATGACAGCGGCAGGGTCCACGACAGCGGCAGGGTCCCCGACAGGAGCAGGGTCCACGACAGGAGCAGTAGGTACCTGAGGATGAAAAGAAGGTGCCCAGAAATGTTGTGGACGGGGGTGTTGCTGTAAGTGGTAACTGTGGGCAGACTGGCGTAGGCGTAGTTTGTTGGGGGTAATGCTGAGCTGGAGACCCAACGGGTAAGATGGCCGGCTTCACTCGATCAATGCTGACGGTGTCGTGTCTGCCATGGCGGATGATCGTCAGAAACTTCGCTGAACGTGCAAAAACCTGGAAGGGCCCGTCGTAGGGGCGTTGAAATGGGTTGCGGTGAGCATCGCGCCTGACGAAAACATACTCGGCGTTGAGTAGAGCAGGAGGGATGTGTTCAGGGCGCCGGGAAGGCTGGCGTGGGGCAGTGGCTCTGAATGCAGAAACTGCTTGTCGTAGGTTTTCCAGCAGGTCGTGACGGACGGCAGCAGTGGAATCGTCGAGGTAAGGAGGGAGTGAAAAGTCTCCAGGTAGGCGAAGGGGCTCGCCTAGGGTAATCGGCTGAGCTTGTCAGATGTAAGAAAGAGTATCGCAAGTAGCGACCCCCCCGTGAGAACCTCGCTGCGGTTGAGCTCCGTTGCTATGGTATTCTGGCTACGCTGTTGTAGGGGAGGGATCCTCTTCAATATTTCCTCTACTCCTTCACACACTCTTGAATCAGGTGATGTTTGTTGATATGAATATTTATGTATAGACTACCTATCACATAATCTTGTCATGAGTACATATTGTAGTAATGGTAACTAGTCATCCATAATCTCATTAAATGGAAAGTACAGTATAGATTCTCCCTTCAGTTACTGCCATATATTAAAGCTGTGATATATACCTCGTATATTCAATAACATGTATTGAAAGATACTAACATATTGTGGTGTATGCTAATAACCACAAACGAAAAAGAAAACATGAAGTTCCCAAGTGCTTTCTTTTTTTGTTTCCTCTGTAGTTATGTGCATATACAGTACATGGGTAACACACCTACAGTGAGTTATTCACATACTGTACTGTGATAGTTAATATTTCAGACGTAAACAGACTTATTAATCATACCAATGTGTTTCAGATACAGTGGTTCATTACCCAAGATGGGGAACAAGACCATCCTGATAATAAATACAATGGGAAGAAGAACTTTGTGGGGCTGGATGTTGAGCAGGAGTGAACTCAACCTATTTACTGGATAAGTCATTTTTGAGAGAAGTTCTGCTGTGTGATATACTGTATACTTTACCTTGAGGGTCTTAGCTCTGTACTGTTAAGGTCTTGTGGAAATTTAACCAACCAACACCTGACTGAATTCTTTTAAATTAGGTTCATTAGTTTTGGTCGGGTTGATAGGTTTTGCCTGTTTTAAAGAACTGCTTGATACCACAGCTGTCATTAGGGAAAAGACCATAATGGTGACTTTATCAATTATCAAATACTGTGTTGATTTTTGCCTTATTCACAGCCTCAACTACCAATGAATCACTAGACAACAGTGAAAGGACAACAGAGCAGCAGTGACCCTTCTACTGCCGTCACGATCACTCATCAGCGCCCTGAAGAGAATGTGGTGTTGGGAGACCCTACAAGAACCTTCTTGTCCACCAGCTTCTTGAGGGGCACTGTCCATGAATACAATTGTAAGTATAGTGGCACTGTCCATGAATACAATTAGAAGTACATCACAATACAGTACAGTACAGAACAGTACAGTACAGTACAGCACAGCACAGCACAGTACCTTCCTAAAACAAATTGTTCTTGCCAATAAGAAATTAAAATATAATGAGTTTAAACTGAGTACAGTATTTTATACATGCATTAGGATATATTCTAACTGCTATGATAGCTGTGGTATGATATGGTATTCCCCTTCCTGAATACCAGATCAGGAATATGAAGGGGGTAAAGTGTGCGTGTGTGTGCGTGTGTGCTTGCGTGCGTGTTTGTTTGTTTGCTTGCGTGAAAAGACTCGTTAGTGGTTGTTGCGTGTATGCCAGTGAAGGCTGCATGGACCTGTTAGAGGCAGTGTGGTGCCGCTAGAGGCTGTGTGGTGCCGCCAGAGGCTGTGTGGTGCCGCTAGAGGCTGTGGGGTGCCGCCAGAGGCTGTGTGGTGCCGCCAGAGGCTGTGTGGTGCCGCCAGAGGCTGTGTGGTGCCGCCAGAGGCTGTGTGGTGCCGCCAGAGGCTGTGTGGTGCCGCCAGAGGCGTGCCGCCAGAGGTTGTGTGGTGCCGCCAGAGGCTGTACTGCCAGAGGCTGTGTGTGGTGCTGCCAGAGGCTGTGTGGTGCCGCCAGAGGCTGTGTGGTGCCGCTAGAGGCTGTGTGGTGCTGCTAGAGGCTGTGTGTATCATAGAGGCTGTGTGGTGCTGCCAGAGGCTGTGTGGTGCTGCTAGAGGCTGGGTGTGGTGCCGCCAGAGGCTGTGTGGTGCCGCCAGAGGCTGTGTGGTGCCGCAGAGGTCTGTGGTGCCGCCAGAGGCTGTGTGGTGCCGCCAGAGGCTGTGTGGTGCCGCCAGGAGGCTGTGTGGTGCCGCTAGAGACTGTGTGGTGCCGCAGAGGCTGTGTGGTGCTGTTAGAGCCTGTGTGATGCTGTTAGAGGCAGTGGATGCTGTTAAGGCCGTGGTGCTGATAGAGGACGTGTGGTGCTCCAGAGGACGTGTGGTGCTGCTAGAGGACGTGTGGTGCTGGCTAGAAGGTTGCTAGAAGTCAGTAGGATGCTGCTAGAGTCAGTGTGGTGCTGCTACAGTCAGTGTAGTGCTGCTAGGCTGCGGTGGTGCTGTTATGAGCCGTGTAGTGCTGTTAGAAGCTGCGTGATGCTGCTGAAGCTGTGTGGTGCCGATAGAGGCTGTGTGGTGCCGCTGGAGGTTCTGTGGTGCCAAATATGATGCCGCCAGAGTCAGTGTGGTGCTGGCGTCAGTAGTGCTGCTGGCTGTGCAGTTAAGAGCCGTGGTGCTGCTAGAAGCTGTGTGATGCTGCTAGAAGCTGTGTGGCGCTGTTAAGAGTCGTGTAGTGCTGCTAAAAGCTGCGTGCTGCTGCCAGAGCCCATGGTGCTGCTAGAAGCTGCGTGTGCTGCCAGAGGCTCTATGGTGCTGCTAGAAGCTGTGTGGTGCTGCCAGAAGCTGCGTGTGCTGCCGTTAGAGGTCCGCGGTGCTGCTAGAAGCTGTGTGGTGCTGCTAGAAGCTGGTGTGCTGCCGCTAGAGGCTCTATGGTGCCGCCAGTAGCTGGTGCTGCTAGAAGCCGTGTGCCGCCAGAGGTCCTGCTAGAAGCTGTCATGATGCTGCGAGTCAGTGGTGCTGCTACAGTCAGTGGTGCTGCTGGGCTGTGTGGTGCTGTTAAGAGCCGCGTAGTGCTGCGTAGAAGCTGCGTGGCTGCTGCGAGGCCGCGGTGCTGCCAGAAGCTGTGTGGTGCCGCAGAAGCCGTGTGCTGCTGCCAGAGGCCATGGTGCTGCCAGAAGCTGTATGATGCCGCTAGAGTCAGTGTGGTGCTGCTGCAGTCAGTGTAGTGCTGCTAAAGGCTGTGTGGTGCTGTTAAGAGCCGTGTAGTGCTGCTAGAAGCTGTGCGATGCTGCTAGAAGCTGTGTGGTGCTGCTAGAGGCTGTGGTGCCGCCAGAGGCTGTGTAGTGCCGCCAGAGGCTGTGGCACCGCTATAGGCTGTGGGTGCCGCCAGAGGTCTATGGTGCCGCTAGAAGCTGTATGATGCTGCTAGAGTCAGTGGTGGTGCTGCTAACAGTCAGGTGTAGTGCTGCCAGGCCGTGGTGCTGTTAAGAGCCGCGTATGCTGTTGAAGCGTGATGCCGGCAGAAGTCTGTGGTGCTGCCAGGCTTTCTATGATGCTGCCAGAAGCTGCATGATGCTGCCAGAGTCAGTGTGGTGCTGCTACAGTCAGTGTTGTAGTGCTGCTAAAGGTCGTCAGCGTTGTGCCGTTAAGAGTCGTAGTGCTGCCAGAAGCTGTGCGGATGCTGCTATGAAGCTGTGTGGTGCCGATAGAGGCTGTGTGGTGCCGCCAGAGTGGGTGGGTGTCGCAAGAGGGTGCGGGTGCCGCTAGAGGCTGTGTGGCACCGTTAGAGCTGTGTGGTGCCGCCAGAGGGTGCGTGGTACCGCCAGAGGCTGTGTGGTGCCGATAGAGGCTGTGCGCTGATAGAAGCTGTGTAGGACTGCCAGAAGCTGTGTGGTGCCGCTAGAGGCTGTGTGGTGCTGCTTGAGAATGTGTGTAGTGCTGCTAGAGGATGTTTGGTGCTGTAAGGCTGTGTGGTGCCCTATAAGCTGTGTAGCACTGCTAGAAGCTGTGTGGTGCCGATGGAGGCTGTGGGCTGCCAGAGGCTGTGTGGTGACGCTGGAGGTTCTGTGGGTGCCGCTAGAGGCTGTGGTACCGTTAGAAGGTGTGCCGCCAGAGGTTGTGGTGCCGCCAGAGGCGGTGTGGTGTCGCAAGAGGGTGCGGTGTCGCGAGAGGCTGTGTGGTACCGTTAGAAGCTGTGTGGTGCCGCCAGAGGGTGCACCGCCAGAGGCCGGTGTGGTGCCGATACAGGCTGTGGTGCTGCTGATAGAAGGTAGCACTGCCAGAAGCTGTGTGGTGCCGTTAGAGGGTGTGGTGCCTAGAAGCTGTGTGAGTGCTGCTAGAAGATGTGTGGCCGTTAGAGGACGTGTGGTGCCGTTAGAGGGTGTGTGGTGCCGTTAGAGGTGTGTGGTGCTGGCAGAAGCTGTGGTGCTGCTAGAGGCTGTGTGGTGCCGCTAGAGGCTGTGTGGTGCCGCAGAGGACGTGTGGTGCCGTTAGAGAGAGGTGTGGTGAGGCTGTGTAGTGCTGAAGCTGTGTGGTGCCGCTAAAGGCTGTGGTGCCGCTAGAGGACGTGGTGCCGTTAGGAGGTCTGGTGCCGATAGAGGCTGTGTGGTGCTGCAGAATCTGTGTAATGTTGCCAGAAGCTGTGTGGTGCCGCTGTTGAGGCTGTGTGTGGTCATAGAGGCTGCCGCTGTGTGGTGCTGCTAGAAGCTGTGTGATGCCGCTGCAGAAGCTGCAGAAGTCGTGTGAAGCTGTGTGGTGCCAGAGGTTGTGTGGTGCTGCTAGAAGCTGTGTGTGCTGCGAGCTGTAGCACTGCCAGAAGCTGTGGTGCTGCTAGAAGCTGTGTGGTGCCGCTAGAAGCTGTGCAGCACTGCCAGAAGCTGTGGCCGCCAGAGGCCGTGTGGTGCTGGTAGAGGCTGGGGTGCCGCTAGAGGCTGTGGGTGCCGATAGACGCTGTGGTGCTGCTAGAAGCTGTGTGCGCCTAGAAGCTGTGTGGTACTGCTCGATGTGTGTTGCTCCTAGAAGCTGTGGTGCTGCCAGAAGCTGTGTGGTACAGCTGGAGCGTGTTGCTGTAGAAGCTGTGTGGTACAGCTCGGAGCTGTGTGTTGCTGCTAGAAGCTGTGTGTTGCTGCAGAAGCTGTGTGTTGCTGCTGGAAGCTGTGCAGTGCCAGAGGACGTGTCGTACTGCTAGAGGCCGTTTCTGTGCTGCTAGAGGCCGTTTTGTGCTGCTGGAGGCTGTGTGGTGCTCCAGAAGCTGTGTGGTGATCCTAGAAGCTGGTGTTGCTGCTAGAGACTGTGCGGTACCGCTAGAGGTTGTGTGGTGCCAGCTGTGTGGTGCCGCCAGAGGCTGTGTGGTGGTGCTAGAGGGTGTGTGGTGGTGCTAGAGGATGTGTAGTGCCGCTAGAGGCTGTGTGGTGCCGCTAGAGGCTGTGTGGTGCCGCTAGAGGCTGTGTGGTGCTGCGAGAGGCCGGGTGGTGCTGTAGAGGTTGTTTGGTGCCGCCAGAGGCTGTGGTGCCGCCAGAGGTTGTGTGGGTGCCGCTAGGAGGCTGTGTGTGGTGCCGCCAGAGGCTGTGTGGTGCCGCTAGAGGCTGTGTGGTGCTGCAGAGGCTGTGGTGTTGCCAGGATGTGGGTGCTGCTAGTGGCTGTACTGGAGGGGGTGTGGTGCCAGAGGCTGTGGTGGTGCTGCTAGAGGCTGTGGTGCTGCCAGAGGCTGTGTGGTGCTGCAGAGGCTGTGTGGGTGCTGCCAGAGGCTGTGTGGTGCTGCAGAGGCTGCGTGTGCTGAGAGGCTGCGGCTGCAGAGGCTGTGTGGTGCCGCTAGAGGTTGTGTGGTGCCGCCAGAGGCTGTGTGGTGCCGATAGAGGCTGTGTGGTGCCGCAGAATCTGTGTAATGCCGCAGAAGCTGTGGTGGTGCCGCTAGAGGACGTGTGGTGCCGTTAGAGAGTGGTGCTGCTAGAGGCTGTGTGGTGCCGCCAGAGGCTGTGTGGTGCCGCTAGAGGACGTGGTGCCGCTAGAGGACGGTGGTGCCGTTAGAGGCTGTGTGGTGCCGATAGAGGCTGTGTGGTGCTGCTAGAATCTGTGTAATGCTGTGAAGCTGTGTGGTGCCGCTAGAGGCTGTGTGGTGCCGATAGAGGCTGTGTGGTGCTGCTAGAAGCTGTGTAGCACTGCTAGAAGCTGTGTGTGCCGCTAGAAGCTGTGTGGTGCCGCCAGAAGCTGTGTAGCACTCCAGAAGCTGTGTGGTGCCGCCAGAGGCTGTGTGGTGCTGGTAGAGGCTGTGTGGTGCTGGTAGAGGCTGGGTGGTGCCGCCAGAGGCCGTGTGGTGCCGATAGACGCTGTGTGTGCCGCAGAAGCTGTGTCGTACTGCTCGAAGCTGTGTTGCTCCTAGAAGCTGTGTGGTGCTGCGAAGCTGTGTGGTGCAGCTCGAGCTGTGTGTTGCTGCTGAAGCTGTGTGGACAGCTCGAGCTGTGTGTTGCTGCTAGAAGCTGTGTGTTGCTGCTAGAAGCTGTGTGTTGCTGCTGGAAGCCGTGTGGCACTGCTAGAGGACGTGTCGTACTGCTAGAGGCCGTTTCTGTGTTGCCAGAGGCCGTTTTGTGCTGCTAGAGGCTGTGTGGTGCTCCTAGAAGTTGGGTGGTGCTCCCAGGAAGCTGTGTGGTGCTCCAGAAGATGTGTGGTGCTGCAGACCGTGCGGTACCGCTAGACTGGGTGCGGTACCGCTAGAGACTGTGCGGGTACCGCTAGAGGCTGTGTGGTGCCGCCAGAGGCTGTGGTGCCGCCAGAGGTGTGTGTGGTGCCGCCAGAGGCTGTGTGGTGCCCCAGAGGCTGTGTGCTGCCAGAGGGTGTGGGTGGTGCTAGAGGGTGTGTGGTGGTGCTAGAGGGTGTGTGGTGCTGCTAGAGGATGTGTAGTGCCGCCAGAGGTTGTGTAGTGCCGCAGAGGCTGTGTGGTACCGCCATAGCTGTGTGGTGCCGCCAGAGGACGTGGGTGATGCAGAAGCTGTGTGGTGCTGCTAGAGGCTCTATGGTGCTGCTAGAAGCTGTATGATGCTGCTAGAGTCAGTGTGGTGCTGCTACAGTAAGTGTAGTGCTGCTGCCTTGTGTGGTGCTGTTAAGAGCCGTGTGCTGGCAGAAGCTGTGTGATGCGGAAGCCGTGGTGCCTGAGGTTCGTGGTGCCGCTAGAGGCCATGATGCTGCTAGAGTCAGTGTGGTGCCGCCACAGTCAGTGTAGTGCTGCTAAAGGCTGTGTGGGTGCTGTCAGAGCCGTGTAGTGCTGCCAGAAGCTGTGATGCTGCCAGAGGACGTGTGGTGCCGATAGAGGCTGTGTGGTGCTGCTAGAGGCCATTAAGGATGCTGCAGAGTCGTGCGTGGTGCTGCTGGTGCGGGGCGTAGTGCTGCTGTGTGGCTGTGTGGTGCTATTAGGGGATGTAGTGCTGCTAGAAGCTGTGTGGTGCCGCTAGAAGCTGTGTGGTGCTGCTAGAGGCTTTATGGTGCTGCTAGAAGCTGTATGATGCTGCCGAGTCGTGTGTGGTGCTGCTGCAGTAAGTGTAGTGCTGCTGTTGCTGTGGTGCTATTAGGGAGCCGTGTAGTGCTGCAGAAGCTGTGGTGCTGCTAGAGGTTCTGTGGTGCCGCTAGAAGCTGTATGATGCTGCTAGAGTCAGTGTGGTGCTGCTACAGTCAGTGTAGTGCTGCTAAAGGCTGTGTGGTGCCTTAGGAGCCGTGTAGTGCCGCAGAAGCTGTGTGGTGCTGCCAGGAAGTCTGGTGCTGCTAGAGGTTCTATGGTGCTGCTAGAAGCTGTATGATGCTGCCAGAGTCAGTGTGGTGCCGCTACGCTCAGTGTAGTGCTGCTGGGGCCGTGTGGTGCTGTTAGAGAGCCGTAGTGCCAAGCGAAGCTGTGTGATGCTGCCAGAAGCTGTGTGGTGCCGATAGAGGCTGTGTGTGGTGCCGCTATAGAGGCTGGGTGGTGTCGCAAGAGGGTGCGTGGTGCCGCCAGAGGCGTGTGTGGCACCGTTAGAAGCTGTGTGGTGCCGCCAGAGGGTGCGTGGTACCGCAGAGGCTGTGTGGTGCCGATAGAGGCCAGGTGCCGCTGGAGGTAAAGCGTGTAGTACTGCCAGAAGCTGTGGTGGTGCCGCTAGAGGCTGTGTGGTGCTGCTGAGAACGTAGTGCCGCTAGAGGATGTTTGGTGCTGGTAAGGCTGTGTGGTGCCTTGGCGTTGTGTAGCACTGCTAGAAGCTGTGTGGTGCCGATGGAGGCTGTGTGGTGCCGCCAGAGGCTGTGTGGTGCCGCTGGAGGTTCTGTGGAGCCGCCAGAGGCTGGTACCGTTAGAAGCTGTGGTGCCGCTGGAGGCTGTGGTGCCGCTAGAGGCTGTGTGTCGCAAGAGGGTGCGTGGTGCCGCTAGAGGCTGTGTGGTACCGTTAGAAGCAGTGTGGTGCCGCCAGAGGGTGCGTGGTACCGCTAGAGGCTGTGGTGCCGATAGAGGCTGTGGTGCTGCTGATAGAAGCTGTGTAGTACTGTTAGAAGCTGTGTGGTGCCGCCAGAGGCTGTGTGGTGCTGCTTGGAGAATGTGTAGTGCTGCTAGAGGATGTTTGGTGCTGGTAAGGCTGTGGTGCTCCCATAAGCTGTGTAGTACTGCTAGAAGCTGTGGGTGCCGATAGAGGCTGTGGTGCCATAGGCCGCGGTGGTGCCGCTGGAGTTCTGTGGTGCCGCGGAGGCTGTGTGGTACCGTTAGAAGCGTGTGGTTCCGCCGGGGCTGTGGTGCCGCCAGAGGCTGTGTGGTGTCGCAAGAGGCTGCGTGGTGCCGCTGGAGGCTGTGTGGTGCGTTAGAAGCTGTGTGGTGCCGCTAGAGGTGCGTGGTACCGCTAGAGGCTGTGTGGTGCCGATAGAGGCTGTGTGGTGCTGATGAAGCTGTGTAGCACTGCTAGAAGCGTGTGGTGCCGCTAGAGGACGTGTGGTGCCGTTAGAGGGGTGTGTGGTGCCGTTAGAAGCTTTGTAGTGCTGCTAGAAGATGTGTGGTGCCGCTAGAGGACGGTGGTGCTGTTAGAGGGTGTGTGGTGCCGTTAGAGTGTGTGTGGTGCTGCTAGAAGCTGTGTGGGTGCTGCTAGAGGTTGTGTGGGGTGCCGAGAGGCTGTGTGGTGCCGCCAGAGGACGTGTGGTGCCGCTAGAGAGTGTGTGGTGCTGCAGAAGCTGTGTAGTGCCGCCAGAAGCTGTGTGGTGCCGCTAGAGGCTGTGTGGTGCCGCCAGAGGCTGTGTGGTGCCGCCAGAGGACGTGTGGTGCCGATAGAGGCTGTGGTCGCCAGAAGCTGTGGTGCCGCTAGGCTGTGGGTGCCGCTAGAGGTTGTGTGGTGCCGCTAGAGGCTGTGTGGTGCCGCCAGAGGCTGTGTGGTGCCGCCAGAGGCTTGTGGTGCTGCTAGAAGCTGTGTGCACCGCAGAAGCTGTGTGGTGCTGCAGAATTGTGTGGTGCCGCTAGAAGCTGTGTGCAGATGCTGAAGCTGTGTGATGCCGCCAGGTGCTGTGTGATGCTGCTGAAGCTGTGTGGTGCCGCTAGAGGCTGTGTGGTGCCGCCAGAGGACGTGTGGTGCCGTTAGAGGGTGTGGTGCTGCAGAAGCTGTGTGGTGCTGCTAGAAGCTGTGTGGTGCCGCCAGAGGCCGTGTGGTGCCGCCGGGAGGTGTGGTGCCGTTAGAGGCTGTGTGGTGCCGATAGAGGCTGTGTGGTGCCGCAGAATTGTGTAATGCCGCTGAAGCTGTGTGGTGCCGCTAGAGGCTGTGTGTGGTGCCGATAGAGGCTGTGGTGCCAAGCAGAAGCTGTGTGCACGTTGAAGTTGTGTGGTGCCGTTGAGCTGTGTGGTGCCGCTAGAGCTGTGTAGAACTGCCAGAGGCTGTGTGGTGCTGGTAGAGGCTGTGTGGTGCTGGTAGAGGCCAGGTGGTGCCGCTAGAGGCTGCGTGGTGCCGCTGGAGGTTCTGTGGTGTCGCTAGAGGCTGTGTGGCACCGTTGGTTGTGTGGTGCGCCGGGGTCAGGTGGTGAAGAAGAGGCTGTGTGGTGTCGCAAGGGCTGCGTGTGGCCGCTGGATGTTGTGTGGCACTGTTAGGCTGTGTGGTGCCGCTGGGGTGTGTGGCACTGCCAGAGGCTGTGTGGTGCTGATAGAGGCTGTGTGGTGCTGCTGGGCAGTGGTACTGCAGAAGCTGTGTGGTGCTGCTAGAGGACGTGTGGTGCTGTTAGTGGTGTGTGGTGCTGCTAGAAGCTTTGTAGTGCTGTTGAAGATGTGGTGCCGCTAGAGGACGTGTGGTGCTGTTAGAGGGTGTGTGGTGGTTAGGTGTGTGTGGTGTGAAGCTGTGTGGTGCCGCTAGAGGTTGTGTGGTGCCACTGTGTGGTGCGTAGAGGCGTGTGGTGCCGGCAGAGGGTGTGTGGTGCTGTGAAGCTGTGTGGTGTAGGTGTGGTGCCGCAGAGGTTGTGTGGTGCCTTGAGGCTGTGTGGTGCCGCCAGAGGACGTGTGGTGCCGATGGGGGTCGTGTGGTGCTGCCAGAGTCTGTGTGGTGTTGATGAGCTGTGTGGTGCTGCTGGGAGTCTGTGTGGTGCTGCCAGAGGCTGTGTGGCGCCGCTAGAGGCTGTGTGGGTGCCGATAGAGGCTGTGTGGTGCTGAAGCTGTGTAGCACTGGTAGAAGCTGTGTGGTGCTGCTAGAATCTGTGTGGTGCCGCTGAAGCCGTGAGCACCGCCAGAGGCCGTGTGGTGCTGGTAGAGGTGTGTGGTGCTGGTTTAGTGCTGTGGTGCCGTAGAGGCTGTGTGGTGCCGATAGAGTGCGTGTGGTGCCGTTAGAGTGTGGTGCCGCTAGAAGCTGTGTGGCTGTTAGAGAGCTGTGTGGTGCCGCCAGAGGCCGTGTGGCGCCGCTAGAGACGTGCGGTGCCGTTAGAGGCCGTGTGGTCGATAGAGGCCGTGTGGCGCTG